ACTAGCTCACCTTTGTTCAGCCACTAAAGTGGCTAATGTCTATATGGATCAAATCTATAAACTTTTTGGTCTACTAGCCAACGTAGTTAATGCTAGAAAGTCAGTGTTTTTGAGCCAATTTTGAAAGAGTTTATTCACCTATCAAGGTGTAGAATTGCATTTTTCAACAGCTTATCATTCATAAATAGATGAACAAATCAAAGCAGTCAATAAATGTTAGGAGCAGTACTTAAAATGCATGATTGGTGAGTCTCTTAATTAATGGACAAAATGGTTACCCTTAATCGCATGGTGGTACAACACCAACTATCACTCATTAACTAAGTCTACACCATATGAAATATTATATGGTTATACACCATCAATTCATATACCATACTTCCCTAAAGACTCCAGTAATGAAGACATTGATGCAGTATTGACAAAGAGGGAAGAGATGGTCTAGATCATTAAAAGTAGCCTTAAATTAACACAATACAAAATGACACAACTATCAAACAGGAAAAAGAATGATAGAGAGTTTGTTGTGGGTGATTGAGTTTATCTTAAACTAAAACCTTATAGACAAACTTTAGTTGCTAATAGGACATTCAATAAACTATCAGCTAAGTTCTATGGTCTATATAGAATCATTGAATGCATAGGTGTAATGGCATACAAATTAGAACTATCAACTTCATTAACAATTCATCTAGTGTTTTATATGTTCACAATTGAAGAAGTGTAAAGGTAATAGAAGGGCGTATGAAGAATTACTTGACTTTCAAGTTGAGCCTGCACTTCAACCTTAATTGATCTTAAATAGACATATAGTGAAACATAAGAATCATGATGCCACTCAAGTTTTGATCCTATGGAAGACCTTTCCACCTTCAGAGGCTACTTAGGAGTTTCTTGATGAGTTTCTTTTGCACTTTCCTCACTTTACCTTTAAGGATAATGGTGTGCTGAAGGGGGAAGGATTGTCATATAATTTGCTGCACTAAGAGAATAACCAAGCATGGAAATGAAGAAGTGCAAATGGAAGACAAATCAATTGAATTAGTGACTATTTTATTTAAATCTTGTTAAACACATCGTGTAGATGTTAGAGGTTATTAGGTTAAGTGACATGAAACTCACCATTTCAATTACTACCTACGCACTATTTTATTATTATTGATTATCTCTTTAGTTAGTTAAGGTTTTTGCCACGTGTTGGATATAAATAAACATTAGGGGAATTGTTCTAGCAGCTATTCTAGTATTTTATTTTTGTCTCAAAATCATTTCATTTGTAACAAAATTCAAGAGGATACTGATTTAAGGAAAAAATGATGAATTAAATAATTTTTATTCCTTTCTCTCCTCGTATTTCTTCTTCTTATTCTTCTTCTTCTTGCATCCTCTTATTTTATATTTTTGTTCTTCATCTATAATTGATTGATTATAGTGGTTAAAGGCTAATTATTAAATCTAAATCAGTGTAGCATTGTAAAGGTCTTGTTATATTCTATTTAAGTTGGAACTTATTCCATCATACTTGCTACAAATAGCTTTAACTCCTCTTTTTTCTCTTAGTTCAGTGATTCCTTCTTTTTTATTTTCTGCATCAATTAGGTTATGAAAAAGTAGCAAACAAGGAAAAAAAAAATCTCTACATGTTCATTATATATTCTTAGGACTCTCTTCTCTTTCTTTTTTTTTCCTAATTTATTTACAAAAAATAATAATAATGAAGAGGAGTAGAGAAAGAAAGAAATTTATGATCAGTTTTTTTCACACAAATAAATCTCTTATATCCATCTTAATTGACCTTCACTTCTTTATTTTTCCATTATCCCGGGAGGTATCCATACAAACTTTGAAATAATAAGAGAAGAATATATACTTTTTTAAAAGAAACAGTACCCTACCTAAAACTAGAAAAAAAAAATTAGGAAACAACACAAACTAAATACTAAAGGGATACAACCTGATAATAGCACAAGCTATGATACTAACTGATGTAGACACCTCCCAAGATACCCTAAAATCATATTTGAATGGTTTACAACTTGACCCAATAAGAACTTGCCTTGGAAAACCAAAGTCATACGCAATAATCACCCTCATTCTATATCTATAAAGAGATGCAAACAAGTAGTATAAAATCACAACGAAGTTGACCAATCATTCAAAGAGCTTGCAAGTTCAATAAAGAGCATAATATAAGAAACACTCAACTACACAAAAGATATCAATAATATTTATTTCTTTATTAAAAGTATTCTAATAGTCTACCCTAAAAAAGTCTCTATAAAAAAATATTTATAGTAGAATGAATCCTAAGTCTAATAAGATATCCCTAATGGATATGGATAAACCTAATAAATAATAATAATTCAATGAAACCAAATTTAAATAAAGGCCCTTGTATTTCTAAAAGGCCTAATAATAACTAAAAGATAAATAAAACAATAGCCCAACTAATTTAAATAAGACTAAAGTCATTTTCATAATCTGCTGGTAGAATCAAAACCCAACTTCAAATGCATGGTTCTCTCTTATATTAATGAATTATAATACATTCCATTTATCATTCAAAATATATGGATGTCTACTTTCCAATGCAACTAGAATTATATTAAAATTATTTTTGTAGCTCCAGTTGTGATCAAAACAATAGCGAAATGTCAAAATTGACAAATTTGAATCTTCTTATTTCAATTTTTTTTTGTAATGTTTGAATGCCCACAAACAAGCCCTTCTTGAACATGAACTAAATTAATCAAGGCTTGTTCTTCACTATTTAATATCTTTTAGAAATCCACCTTAGCCTATATATCTTGAAGAATTCCTTTAAAAGCCTCTTTGAACCTCTTAATCCTAATTCTTGTTTAATAGACCAACTAGATCTTCTAACAGATATCTTATTGTCACTTAGATAACATCAAGAATACTATGTTACAGTCTTAAAAAAAAACACCTCCCTTCATGTTTTCTTTCCATGGAAATGAACTACCATCTTTTAACCATAAATGAACCTTTGTTTTACATCTCATATCTTCATTATCTATTAACCAAAGTCATGCAATACTTAGATAAAACCAGAAATGGCAGATTCATCTAGTAAAATAAACATGAAAACATCAACTTATAACCTTATAAAATAAGATAACGAGGGAAGTTATACTTGCTCTTCTTACACACCACAACAAGTCCATTCCAAACCTAGCGCTGCTTCCTTTTATTTTCTAACCAATGAACTTGGAGCCTCTCACAAACAACTTAATAGAATCTCAACCCTTGATGTTCAAGAAGAAATTATGACCATTAATTACAGCTAAGGAAGAAAGTTTGTCATGTTCTACAGTTGTCAAGGTGCTTATTCACACCATCTGGAAATTTTGGCAGTTAGGGTGTGAGTTTGTTGTTATTTTTTCTTGAATCTTAGGGAAAAAAGAGAGGATCTAAGTGGTTAGAATTGTATATGAACATTATAAATATTGATTTAAGCACTTATGATCTTGATTGATATAAAGATGAAGGTTTGAAAGGGTTTGGAATAGTCTAAAAGAGTGTAGCTCATACATGTTCTTCATGAGCTGTGATTGAGATGGGTCTTTATGGTATTTTTTTTTAATATTTTAGAGATAAAATAATGATTTTGATGGTTGGATCATGTTGAGGGGAATCATTATTGCATTTTAGGAAAAAAAAAATTGGGTATTTTAGTGAGATAATAAGGGTCAAAATTAGGTTGAAATAGGACAACTCAGACAACCTTTTTGGGTTAAAATGAAGAAGAAAATGAATAGTAATTGAACAATGTGTCATTTATGGTTTCTATTTTATAAATAAAAGAACTGTCATCTAAAGTACCTTCTTCAACTTAGTCCCTACTCTTTTAAGTGTTTCGATTAAGCCCTCAATTGAACCTTTTTTTTTTTTAGAATTCCTTCAATTTCATATCTAGAATGTTTCAATTGGATCCTCTACTTTTCACAACTTCTTCTCAATGATCCTTGATTTTAGGATTCCCTAATTTGGTCCTCAATTGGCCCTGTAAACTTTTAATTCCTTTCAATTAAGCCTTTGATTGTACCAATTAGGCTCTTCAAAGTTCAATTGGGTCCATGATCTTTCAATTATCATAAATTGACCTAAATTAGGTCTTCAAACTTAATTTTTCTTCAATTAAGTCCTTGATTAAATCAATTAAACCCTTAATTAAATCAATTAAACCATTAAAAGTTTAATTAAGCCTTGAAACTTAATTAATTCTTCTGATTTTGGTCAAATTAACTTTCAGGCTTAAATTTGCTTCAATTATATCCTTAATTAAGTCAAACAAACCCATTAGAAGTTTAATTAAACCCTTGAACTTAATTAATTCTTCTAATTTTGGTCAAATTGACTTTTGAACTTAATTTTTCTTTAACTAAGTCCTTAATTTAGTCAATTAAGCCCATTAGAAGTTTAATTAAGCTCTTGAACTTAATTAGTTCTTCTAATTTTGATCAAATTGACTTTCAAACTTAATTTTACTTCAATTAACTTATTCTTCAGCGTATCCCGTTAATAATATTCTAATCTGATTATTTTTCTAGTGTTTTGACTCGTTGCATATGAAAAACTAATCTATTTATATTCCAAAAATGTTTTTAAATTATAAATTTATGAATTTTTTTATTTTTTAAATAAAAAAAGCAAAATATAAAAAAAACTTGGAGGACCATAATTAGGATTACTTCATGACAGCTCCCAATAAATAACAAATGAACCTCGTCAATGCACACAAATGTGGTTCGAACCTTGTGTAAACTGAACCTTCCTGCCACGTGCATGAAACGCGACTGGTTCCCTAAATGGTGTGCTTTGACATTTGACCTCTTTCAAGATTGCCTGCCAAACATATGAACGGTCAACTTGTCTCATCTGTGTACCTGTCCTTCCTTTTAACTGCAGCCATTCCGTACTGGCTAGCAGTTTGGCGCTTCACTAAATAAATTCCGGTCTCTCATAACATGATTAAAAAAAGAAGAAAAACAAACAAAGCTACTATAAAAAAAAAATACCACACCTTTCCTAGCTACTGCTATTTTGAAACAGCAAGATTTATACATTCACTAAACTACTGTCATGGCAGGTCTTGTTAGAGAGCCAGTGAAGGTGGTGATAATCAACACGGAGTACGTGCAGACAGATGCGAGTAGCTTCAAGTCAGTGGTGCAAAAGCTCACAGGCAAAGACTCTGCACCGTCAGGAAATAGGGATGAGCTAAAGATGGGTTTTTCGAGGAAGTTGGAATCAAGGGATCAGATCAGGGAAAAAAGGGTTCGATTGGACGTGGATGATAATGCGTCATATGCTAGTGGTGATCCAGTTTTGGTGAGAGATTCATCGTTTAAGGAGTTTGAAATATTGCTCAACGAGATGCCATCTGTGGATGAATTATACCGGTTATTATGTGCTGATATTTAGCTCATGCGCCTAACTCTTTCTTCATTCGTCATTTGTGTTTAATGTTGAGATATTACAGATTCTTCAACACTATATATATATATATATATATATATATATATCCTTGTTCGTTTTCATGGCTTGCAAGCACGGATTCATTAGTGCTGTAGAAAGAGTTAGCATTTACTGGAAATTAGCAAGAAAACTGGAGCTAGCAAATAGGGAAAGCAAAGTTAAAAATTAAAGATCAACAAAAGAAAGATACAATCTGCATTTCTTGCAGTTGAATAAATTAAACTCAGCGCGAGAATGCTAGTGCAATCATTTCTAAATTATAAGGAAGATATATATATTTTTTCTTCTTTCTCACTGCTATCATCCTCAAAGTTATGGCTGCTTGTTTGTGGCTGAAAATGAATGAAAGAAATTGACATGTCCTTGAGGACGTTATGGTTTGAAACTAACCCCAGCTGTTTTGATCATTTATGGAGTAGTACCCTATCACAGCCCATCAACAAATTAAGGGTCTTTTGGTTCACACCTACGTGTTTTTTAAGAAAATTTAAAATTATTTTGATGTTTTTTTATTGTTTTGGTGTAATAATACAAAAAATAAATTTTATAAAATAAAAATAAAATAAAAATTTATGTTTTGAAAAATAACATATAAAATATTGTTAATTAATGTAATAAGTGATTTATAAGACTATATTAAATGTTAATGTTGGTCTAAAAAACATTTCTCCATAAAATGGAGTAAACCTAAGTTGTTAATATGGAATAATTAATATATTGTTCAGTTAATCAACATAAGGTATGAGAATCACTTTTTCTTTTTTCTTTTTCTTCTCTATTTTTCTAGTCCTTGTTTTAGTGTCTTTATCTTCTCTTTTTTCTAGGTGTCTTCTAGGCCTTAATTTATAGTTTTGGGAACCCTTTTAAAATAGAAAATAAAATCAACCAATTAATATAAAATATTGAAATATCTCTTTTATTCTTTCCCTCTGGAATGAGAATCTAATGTCTTGGAAGTTTTATGGTTAATGATCATTTTTTTCTATTTTTTAATTGTCTAGGATCTCTTCCTTCTCTTTTTTATCTTTTTTACTCTAATAGGTGATTTTTCAAATATCTTCATTAAAATTTTGCATGTAACTCACGTCAATTAAAATATATATTTTTTTTTAATTTCTACTTTTATGAAAGATGATCCCTTTCTATTCTTTTCTTTTTTATTTATTTTTTTATTATATGATTCACTTCTCCATCATCTTGGTTATCTAAGTCTTATAACTCTAATTGCGAATTCGGCAGATTAACCTAGATTGATCTAATATGTTTATGTTTCAATATTAAAAAAAATATCATATTGATTTTTTTTCATTAAACTATATTTTTATCAGTTATTCAGGTTTTTTCTAGACCTATTAAATTGATCGAGTCATACTATGTCAACATTCATATGATTTAAAATTTATTTTTACTAAAAAAACATATTAACAACATCTAAATATTTTTTTTATGTTCATAAAAAAATTGATGTGATTCACAACATCTCTCTCTCTCTCACACACACACACACACACACATATATATATATATATATATATATATGTACTATGTATTTTTTTTTCCTTTAAATGAAGATCCAATGAATTTTAAAATTAGACAATAGCCATAACCTTCATTATTCCCATATTTACTCCATTTCCAAAATTTAAATCTAAAACCTTCCCAGTAAAAATTTTAAATTCCAGATTGTAACTTTGGAGGCTAATTAATGCTCTCTTAAATATTTCATTTTATATGTCTCAATTTTGGGTTATTCGGTTGTTATATGAACACATACGTCCTAAAATATTAACCCTTTTTTTTCTTATAAAACCTCCCTTCTGAAGAAAAATAATTTATGGACACCCACTCCTTTTGTTTTATTTTTCTTCTCTGCCGCTTTTTTTTTTTGCAAAAAGAAAAAATTATAATTCTGTTTTAATAAATACCCAATTTATTTAATCTTTTATGTGTTTGTGGTGTCGTTTCAATTGATTGAAAAAATTTGATAATAGTCAACAAATTTGAATCTTCGATTAATAGTCTTAATGCTATAAGTTATTTTTACTGATAATTGTAGCTTAAACTTGTAAACACACAATGTTATAAGTTTTTGAAAAAAACAAATTCTAAATTAAGAATTCTAAAGAATTTAGTTTATTTTAATCAATTCATAAAAACAATCATTATTACTTAAAAATATAGTTAATAGACTTGACGTGAGATCCGACTTGATAAAAGATCCAAGTTATGAGTTTGTTAGGCCAACCCTAAATCCATATTATTTTAAATAAAATATTTTTATTTTAAATTTTATTATTTTAAACAAACATTTTAAAAACTTAATATATTATTTTAAATAAAATGTTTTTATTTTAAACAAACATTTTAAAAACTTAACCTTTGTTGTTTTTGACAATTAAAAAAAAATATTTTTGTAATTGACTTGATCGGTATCACTGTAATTTGATTGGATCAACCTCCAAACCAATTTAAGATAAAACTAAATATGAGTCAGGTTCTAGATCATTGGTTACCTGATCAACCTATCAGGTTAGGTCAAGTTAATAACTATGCTTAAGAAACTAGTTTCAACCATTATTTTTTTTTAGATTTTTTTTAAATAAAAAATTTCAATGGCCATAATTATTTTTTTCTTCCGTGATTATAATGTAAAAATAATGATGTGCATATGTTTTTTTGTATTAATAAATAATATTTTTTATTCTAACAAAATTAAATTACTTGTAATCAATCGATAAAATCTCAATCTCAATTTCTAAGAAATTTTGCTAACTAGAATAAAACATATATTTTGATTTTCATGTGTACATTTTGCTTAATTTGTACGTTGACTTCAGTGACGAGGCATAGTGACAAAAACATAATATACTTCACTGATGCTATAATAATCTTCCCATTAAATAAAAGGATTAATATTATTTGGCTGCAAATATGCTTATTTTTTCTTGAACAAATTAATATGGTCTATGAACCTGAGTGGATAGATCGTTTCTGCATGGAGTAAGTTATATGGTCTGTGATAAATGATTATGTTTGGTTTACATTAGCATCACCAAGGCTTGTATGATATTGGACCGTTTAATTTGTTGACCAAAAGTATAGAATATCTTATTCATTTCACAGAACTCTAAAACATGTGAACAATTCACTATAGACATAGTTTATTATGAATTGTTTTAGTGAATTTATCTTTATGGTTATATGTGAAAAAGTTAGAAGGCTTGGATATGAATACGAAGGTATTTTAATTTTTTACACTAATTTATTGGTTATTAAGAAATTAAACATGAAAATCATCTAATAGGTGATTCAGTGGTAAGAGTTTGAAACTAAAGGGTTTATTTTCTACATAGTTTCAAGTTTGAGCCTTGTGATTGCTAATATAATGGTCATTGGAGACTTATATGATCATTAATTTCAAGACCCGTGGGATTAGTTGAGGTATACGCAAGCTGACCCGAACACCCACGTCAATAAAAAAAAGAAATTAAACATGAATATTATTATTTTTTTAGATTATTTTATACAATGAAAATATTTTTTTGTATTCTAGGTTAATTAAATTTAAACTTGAAAAAGAGTTTTTTTTAAAACTTTGCACAAACTTTAAAATAAGTAAATTATTTGGCTACAAATATCTGAGTCATGTCTATCTATATTGAAAACAATCCAAATATGCATGTACCATGATTCTATTCTATTGTTAGTGGAACTGTTATTTGGTGCACCCAATTGGTTATGGAGGGTGAACCATATGCGGATGTGGTGCACCATCATGGGCTATCTCTTTGCCTAATGTAACCTAAACTCAAGATTCTGCGCAAGAGATTATCGACCTAAACCCACCCTGGTTTCTACCTAACAAATAGATACATAATAATCACAAAAAATAAATTGGAATTTCATGGTAAGCACATCGTATCAACTCCATTGATTTTCCTCCTAAATTCCTTTTCTATGATTTTCCTTCAATAAAAACACTCTCTTCATGCATAGAATATGACTAGCCAACTTTCCCACTTTTTACTGCCGGCCAAATCAAAAATTATTTTCTTAATAAAAGTAATAATTTATATTCATTCGAACATAATAATTTCCTAATATAACTCCTCATTTTCTTATTAATTTATCTTTTCCACAAACAAATGTAGTTATTTTGTGCTATGTTATTTATTTTATACAAATTAAAAGCAATTAGAATAAATATAAAGAATATTTGAATGATTCGAAATAATAATAAAAAAATATCTCCTCAATTAAAACTCATTTATCTATGTTTTTTTTCTTTTTTATATCTTAATATTTTCTTTTTAAACAATAACTTATCAAAATCATAAAAATAAACTTTAGTATAAAAAATTATGTCTTGATAGTTTTGCCACAATTGTAAAAAAATATAAAAATAATATACTGCTTGTGCCTTGCCACATGAAGCTTTTTAGAATCTATATTTTATTTTAATATATAATAAAAAATAGATATGCATAGAAAAGACAATAAATAAAATTAAAAAAAAAATACTATGAAGGGCTGTGCAAAAAGAATATTAGAAATGAAGGGCTATGCAAAAAGAATATTTTCTAATATTATAAAAAGAATGCTACAATCTTATTAAAAAAACAAAGTAAAATGTAAATGATATTTAATAAAATATATTTTTAATTATTTTATTTTAATGATTTTTAATTAAAATTAAAAAAAAAACTAAAAAACAATAACTTACATGCCTTCATAAAAATAGATTAGGTGTTATTTTTAATTAAAATTAAAAAAAAACTAAAAAACAATAACTGTACATGCCTTCATAAAAATAGATTAGGTGTTTGGCCCGGACTGGGCTAACATGTATAACCTATATTAAAGAAGGTTATGACTGCGTGCTTAGTCATTCCTTTTTTTTTAAGATAAAAACAAAGTAGATGATGTTTTGTTTCCACTGAAAACCAATCTATCATACACTAGTAGAATCATGACCATCTTAAATGGCTGGAAAGTTGGATTCTGACTTCTTAAACAAAAAAAAAACTATTATTTATAGTGTTTTTTTCACTTGAAAATATCTAAGAAACACCTTATAAACCTTAATAAACTCATTTTAACCTCAAACGAGCCTTTAATTACTTAAAAACATAAAAAATCACAAATAAAGAAAAACTCAAGCCTTGATTTACTTTTATGATAAGATGAAGGATAAAACTACACCTCGATAGCACTTAT